TATATATATATGAAAGACATGTTTGCAGTAATATCTAAGAAAATTAAGTATTTTGGGCAAAGATAAGAAAGTGCCCCTGAAATTATTGTCTGGTATTCTAATGGACTCACGACTAGCTGGATACAGCTGAGAGTTTGGCTTATTTTTCTTCACCCAATTATTTTTTTACTCCAACTCTCACTCTTCATCTATTTACCTTCACAACTGTCATAATAAACTTAAAGGCTACCATTTTAAGGTCAGTTGTTTTAAATATATGGTCAAACTCTTCTCACCTTCTTTGGAATTCTGATCTCTCTTCTCAACTTTGGTGGCTCTAAAAAGGAACACAGTGTAGCGTAAGATGTAGGAATTCAGGGAAATAACGTTGAGGGATTCTTTGATCTGACTGGTTTCAGCTGAGCGAAAATAAAGAGGCAGCCAGGAAAAAATATACAAGGCCCAGTGTGGAGCCTGGGCTTCACCCAAGGGAGACAACCCAGAAGAGGAGCTCCATGCAAGGCTTGAGCACTGCCCGGCAGGGCTTACACTGTTTGTGTTGTTCTAACATGGTTAGCACATGGGCTAAACTCCCTGGTCATTTATTTAACACACAGGCTTCCCATGGCGCTTCCAGATGCCAAAAGGTCAGAGGGAGCAACAAAAATCTCATGAGAGGCCATTGGACAGCTTATGTTTATCCTATCTATTTCCAGTAAATGTAAGATTTTGATTGGATCCCTATAAACCAGGGAGGAAGGTGCATTGCTGCAGTTAGTGTGTTTCTCTAGGTTATCTTTAAGATTTTACCTGCCCAATACAAAGTGTACAACCACACAATAGTGTTGTTCGCCAAACACTTCAAGCAGGGACTCACCCATCTCTGTGTGTTTTCTGAAAGGGCCAAGAGAGCAAGGGGGTTGAAGTCAATCTGTTCTTATTACAACTTTGGACTGCCAAGAGGGGTAATCACAGCCCTATTATGGTGGACTTATGTAAAGGTTAGACTGCTTTGTGGCTTGAGGGTGTGAAATGCCAATGACAGATGGTATGTGCAACCAGCTGGTCACAAAATTTAAAGCAAAAACACACCGGAGCCACTGCATTGCAAAGTGTCTTGCACATTATTTCTTGCTAATTAACACAAATTGTGGTAGAGTTCATGAAGATAAATATTCCTTAACCTAAGCCAAGGGTAGTTCCTTTTAAATTTGTGACCATTAAAGAAATAGAACATAAAACATCACAAAAAAGCCATCTTACTCCCTGATGTGTTTTCTCATCATTATTGGGGATCTTTCAAACTTTCCAATACTCTTGCACAAGTAATTTTTTCATGTCACTGAACTGAAGGAAAAGTGCAAAGTATGAACGATGGGAGAAAAAAGTAGAGCAGCTCTCTTTTTTTTATACATTTGCTCCTCCAAACCCCTTAGAATCCAAAATCAAGTGATTGTCATTTTGAACAGGGTATTATGAGGCTATTCATTTAACAGCTTTTTAAATATGGTTTTGCTACGTCATTAGTTTCAAAGCAAAATGCATTAGGCTGATTACTTTTGTCATATCGTGTCTATTAATCCATTTACACACATACATACCCATACTTCCATCAACAACAACAATGCCTGGGTGCCAGTTGGACTTTGACTGTCTAGGTCTTATGATATTTGGCAACCTTGTTCCTCAAACAGACAGTGCACACAACCCCCTGTGGATGGCTGGCTATACCACAAAGTATGTTTGTGAATGTGCATGAGTGTGTAAGTAGGGTGTGTGTGTGTGTGTTTACCCAGGCTGCAGCAGCTGTGTCAGTAATAGCTCTCTAAGCTGCAGGCTAATGACAGAACTCAGAGAAGGGGACTCTAACATGGATAGATGTTTAACCCCATTTAGCCCCGATCTGGAGACCATTGGGCAAACACCACACAAGCACACACACGCAAACACTTGCGCACATACACAAACACGCATCCATTATATCTGCTTCTACTTCCTGTTTTGGGGCTTCGATTTGGTCTGAAGGGAGAGACGGAGCAAAAGACTTATAGGAGGAAAGGGACGAGGGGGGGGGCACAACATCTTTTCACCCTGTATATCAGGTCTGCCTTGTTTCTCGTTTCCGTAGCAACAAGACCTCACACACAACAAACCAGACCACCAATCATAAACGCTTCCACCACATACACACAGACTCACACTCTTGCACAAAGTCAAACACACACTGTCCTTTGGAGAGCAAGAGGGGGCAGGTGGTCACATCAGTTGTGCCTGTTTGGGGGTTGTTAGCTTTTAGGGTTACAATGTGTGTGTGTGTGAGTGTGGGGTGTTCGTGATGGGCAGGGGGGTGGGGGGTATCACCACCCAATCATTGCTCAGCCAGCAGTCTATTGTCCAGGCCTATGAAGTGACTGTGAGGTCTAATTAGCAAGTTAACAAGTTAAGAGGTGGAGTCTGTCAAACGCTTAGCTCTTTCACCCCAAGGGTCAGTCCACCTTTGCTGGTTCTGTATGGGCTCTGTATGTCTGCTTTGAATAACAGGGGTTTCACTATCATCAGCCTCGGATGATAGTCTGCTTTAGTGGGAGAGGGATGTTCTTAGTCTATGAGCATCCAACTCCCACCACTACACAAGTTAGTAAATTGAAGAATCTCTTTTTGCGGCAATTCCAGCTGCAAAGTTTTTGAGTGGAAAGCAGCAATGAAAGAGTATTATGCTTTAACCACTGTGTTCATGGTGACGTGAACTTAAATGCTTGCTTATATGTTTTTTCCACAAACAGCAACTAGAGTTCTTATTTCTCTTTAAAACACACGTGTTTCTGGTAATTTTCCCCTTTTCAACTCAAAAATGAATTCATGATGTAATGTTAAACCAAGCTAATAAAAACTGATAGGAGATACCAAATAAACAATTTTAAACACAGATTGCTAAGATTTGAATATCCGTAATTGTTGTGCCTACAGAGCATGTGTGTATGCATATTTAATCTGGGAAGTTTGAAGTGTAATCCCTAATGCGGTGAGACGCTGTCTATTTTGGGTGCCTTTATGACATTCTTTAAGACTCATTTGTGACCAAATCGGCCACAGTAACTGGAAAATAGACCCAAATTTGAATTACGTCTACATCTTTACCCCTTTCCCCACATTTACGTAATTTGTTTTTTTTCAAGACCTTGATGCCAGCACTTATAACATACTAGAAGTCAATTCAAAGACATTGAATTAAATGTAATTATCAGACAAGTAAAGCCAAAATGTCTATGTGACCACATTTTCTTAAGATGCTGCTGCTACAGTTAGTCATGAATAGCTGATCCATTTCTCTCCTCACTCTTTTTTTCTTATGCACTCTCTGTCCTTCTCCCTGTTAATATGTCTGTCTCTATATCAATCTCTCAATGAACTAAGGCTCTCTACCTCCCACAAAGGCAGCACCATATTTCTCCTCTTAAACATCGGGGGCAATGCCCATTGTCTGGAGGACATTGAAACTTGCTTACAAAAGAGGTCGATGGCTCAATGTGTGTATGTGTGTGCAAAGTAGGAGTTCCCCCACCTCCCTTTAAGGGGACAAAGATCCCAATTTGTCACCTTGTGTACAGCTGTAGAGCAATTGGGTGCAGTTTGGGTGTGTGCATGTTATAATGTGTGTGTGCATTTAATTGTTTAAAAGCGGGGGGAGGAAAAACAGGGATAGAGGAAAGGAGGGAGAAAGTTAGGCAGGATAGCCTTCTTTTTTATTCCAATACAACCTCTTAGGGGGCAGTCTGGATGGGGGTAAGAGGTTAGTAAGTAAAGGGGGGTAAATAGTTTTTTTGGTGGGAATGTTTGTGTAAGGAGACAAAGCGACAGCCACTCTGTTGCTGTGTGGGAGAGTGAAAGTTTTGGGGGGGATTCAATGGGGCCTGGTACAACAGCTAAAATAGGTGTTAGATGGACGATGCTCAGAGAATGTCTCATAATATATTTTGTATCATCCATCCTCTTAGTGAAGAATCACTATAACTCTGCATTATGTAAAGACCTCTGATTTACCAGTAGGTCTGACTTAGCTTATTCACTTCTATTTAAACTTTGTCAAACACCTCATTTAAGAACATTTTTGGGCCTCTACAGCTGTTTCCAATCCCCAGAGGTGGGACTCAAGTCTGAGACCAAGATTTTTCTGTCATTCTGGGGTTTGATTCCCACTTAAGTCTCATGTAAAGACTGCTGGTTATACTTGGACTAAGAAGACCTGACTCTGACTTAGATCAGGGTGTCATGACTCATTATCTAATATGATCATGAGTAAAAACTCAAATCGAGACACGGTAACAGGGATAGATAACGCTTGCTTGAAAGGATTTAATATCCATTTGTGTATGTCGACTATATTATTTGTCAAATAAAATATGCTTACTTTAACTTTACCTTTTTTATTGAAGACCGTATAAATGTCTCCCAATCTTTGTCCGAATCTACTATTGGGGTTCACAAAATCACGGTTTATTAGATATTTTGGTTTCAAATCAAAGAAAGAAACAAATATAAAATAAAAAAGAATGAGAGATTTGTCACAAGGAAACAAGCAGTCCAAAAATTCTTACACAAGTATTTTAAAAACCTTATTTTATGTATCTTTTTCAGCTATCTAAGGGTGGAAATTTGCATATTTTCTATTCCATTGTTTGAATAGGAACGTTGGCCTTATGTATGCTATGTTTTTGAACACAGAATCATATAATCCTGGGCAACACATAAAACCAAAACAATTGTTGCTCCAACCAGATAAGGCCTATTGAGCCAAATAATCAAGTAAACTGTAATATAGGATAAACATTTCCGTTTTTGTCTTTTTAAAGAGCAAGTACTTGGTTCCAGATATACAATCGTCCAAAAACTCTACAAATAAAAAAAATCTACCTTTTCTTTAACCAAAAAGTAAGTTTAATGCTGCTTTTTTAAATACTCCAATTATGCCACCGGTGAATCAATTACAGTTCTCCCTTTGCTTGCATCTCATCATCTCCCAGAGCTTCCTAATCAGGTCAGCGCCATCCTGCCTGCAGACCACCCCGTCCCCTGGCTGGCCCCACATGTTGTGACTCCTGACAACTTCTCCAATTTGCTCTGCTGTGTGAAGAGGCTGGGAGCACATTGATATCTTCCCACCTACACACAAGCTCAGGAGCAATCTTTTCCTTTCTCAGGAACACACACATACCCAAGCACCCTCCCACACTACAGTCATCAATATTCTCCCATTTATAAATGATCTGGCCCTGAGATAGAGTTTCAGACCTGCTGGGTTCTTCTGCCCCCTGCTTACCTCCTAAACACACCCACACATTCAGGATCTTTACTGATCATTGATCACCTTCTCAGATATAACACAGCTCCATGTATTGTTTGGGCACCAGCAGGGACCTCTGTCTCTGTCCATGTTCATCCCAAATGTGTTGCCTGTGTGTGGGTGTTCTGTGTGTGTGCATCTGTTTAATGTGTCCAGATGGATTTGCATTATGGAGAAATCTTTCAGGACCAAAACAAAATCATTCTCCTAGTCATTTTACTGCTTAATACCACAAAAACTGGGAGGAATAGATAAATTAAAACATTGAAAGTTCTCAGCTGAGTCTGATGATTGCAGTTCAGCAAAAGCCTGTTAATCAGCTATCAATAGAATCCAGCTGTGCTGAAGAAGGGGAACCTCTAAAACTTGGTAAGCGGGCCTTGAGGGCCGTCTTTGGGCATCCATGCTCTGACAAAAAAAAAAAAAACAATTAAATACATTACAAAAAAAAGCTTGTATTCAAACTAATGGCTTTCAGACTTCTGGTTAAATCATGTGTTGTCTTTTCATCTTACTCATTTTGCTGAAAGGAATTCATTACAGCCCTGTTCTGAACTGTTTTGCTGATTTAACATTTACTTTAACAACGTTACCTGTGTTATTTAATCAACAGTAATTTATTTAATCAACAGTACTGTAATAAGGAGAATTATTATCCATTGATCTTTATAGTTTGATTTGTATTTCAAGTGACCACAATGAAAGTAACTGCAAGCCTATTTAGCATGAGGCCATGCAGTACCTGTCATTACCAGCTCCCACCTACTGCCTTTAAGTTCTCTGCCCTCTCACACCCCAATGGGCCATGGCAAACTGTAGATTTCTTAAAACCTGATCCTGTCTAAATTTTCAGGCCTTTCCTCATTGATTTCCCCGGGTGAAAATAAGAGGATAGGAAAGCATGTTAGACGTCTCCGGAATCAGAGCCAATCCATTAGCAACAATCAATACACTGGCAGAGGGAGAGAGGATGAGTGAGTGTGGGTGAGGGAGCCAGAAGGAGAGAGGGGAAACGTGAGTGTTGACAAAACCAAATAAATATAGACGCGCAAAGAGAGGAGAAATCAGATTAGCGCTGAGAGAATCTAAGCACAACACTTTTAACCCCTAACCTAACAATCTGTGTTTACACCACAGTATAGAGAGAGAAGGAGGGAGCGATGGGGAGGAGGGAGGTTGCGGCTATATAGAGACTATGTCTGTTCCCAACTTGAATTTAACAAGGTTTTCGTGCTGCTGATGGGCGGCATTAAAAAACTGAACACACACGAAACACACAAGTAGTCATACATCCACGAATAACTGTTGACATGCATGCTATACTCATAATTGTTGTGGTTGAGTATAATGTGACTAAGGATTTATAGCTTTCTTGCGGTGCAGTGCAGTAAGTTCTTTTTAAATAAAGATTATTACATGGTTTCAGAGAAGTCGACTGTGGAAACATGTACCAGATGCTGCTTAGTAATACTCATAATGTTGTCCTGTTTTGTGTTTTGTTTTTCATGTGGCTTTGACTGCATCTTTTGGGGTTTCTCCTCTCAGGTAAGTCTGTTTTTATTTTTATTTTTTCTCCTACATTTCACAATAATAATAAAATGTGCCAACTCAGAAATTAGAACATTTAAGTTCTTATTCTCTTAAAACTTTTTACATTTTCTAAAGAACCAAATAGCTGCCTGTATTTAATGGTGGTAAAACAATGTAACTTTTGGTCAATATAGAAATATCAAAATGTAGAAAGACTGATTACATCTTTACACTGAGTAAATCGTATATCACAAACCATGTACAGCACTCCACCCTATGGCTTTCCCCCTTATACACACATCACCGTTGTTGCAATCGTTATTGAGATTCATTGGTAGTAGATAAACAAAGGATGTAGTTTTTGCATAAATCTGAAAGCTAATTAAAATATTCCAATTTAAAAACTGTGAACAAATTTCATAAAATGAAATGATTATATAATCCTGGTACATATAAACCGGATGTAGTCTAACAATCTGAAATATATTCTTAATGCAGTCCAAGACATAACTTATGATGCATGAACATTGTATATTTTTTTTCTAACAACTTATCTTTAATCTATTTCTAAAAAAAAATCACAGTTTCTCCTATTATTTCTGAATCATTACTTAGTCTTCTGTACTTTACTTGTCATAACACAACTGTGAGCTCTACCTGTGATTAAATTACAGGTCGGTTTAGTTCAGAGGGTAACAACATTAATTCAGTTTTAGAACACAAAGCAAAGCAGCATATATGTTTGGATATTAAAAGAAACCAATTTCTGTCTAAGAGCACATGTATACAGAGGCTTCCTGTTTGAAGTCAATGTTAGATTTTCCATTTACTTTTAACAAATGAGTTGTTGTTTTTGCACTTATTTCTAACCGTGCTCTGACTCTGACTAGTTGGAGATTCTAATCTGTGTGCAAAGCAAAGATAATCACTTCCTGTTTCGTGCAGTCAGCGTGGTAAGGCATTGCCTCAATATTCTTATCAAATTTTGATAAAGGAAACAATGCTTTAAAATTCTTAAATGATTGCTTTTAACAGTAGTCTTTGATACACAATACCTTCAAAATGAGGTTTGAGATCTTAAACTTTTAACATTTTTCCATATGGCAACCTGAAACTGATATAAGACCGACAACCAAATTTGAAATCTTTGCAGCCTTTTAGTAATTTTTCTTACAAGGATTATCTTTAATTTAGCTCTACTTAAATCCCAATTACTTTGACCATCTTCCACGTCCCTGCAAGTGAAAGAGAAGATGTAGCTCTCATCATGTTTGATGACGAGGATGATGTGTCTAGGAATACGTTAAAGACTATTCATTCAAATAGTTTTACTTGTTAGTCAAATAGTTTTGCTTTGCTATCACCAGATCACTTCCTTTCTATAGTTTGCTATGTCATCTGAATGACTTGTGAGAAACTAATAAATCATGTGGCTTGTTTTTAGCATCTTTTCTTCCCTTCCTTCTATAACCATCATCGGTGGAGTACTCAAACCTTTATTTTTTCCTGATAACATTCTCCCTCCTGGGGAGTGGGTCTCAGCAGCTTCTCCACAGTTACCATGAGCCTCGGCTATTTCTCTGATTTCTCCTGTCCTTGCCCAGTCTGTCAAACACAGTGTTACTCCAAGCTTGTCGCTAGGGTACCCCTCTCATTATTTATTGCTGTGCAGAATGCATGATAGGTTGTGGCAGGAACTTGCCAAACTTACCAACTAATTTACCACTAATCCACTCAGTGCCCTAACCCCTAAAAAGAAACCTAGGAAAAAAATACATAATAACATACACTCCTAAAGCTACCAACTATTTGTATGCTATAAATTAAAAATCTTTTTGTCACGGGTTATGTTATGTTATGCATGTCAACCGTGTCATACAATGTCGCAACCTATCCCTTACCCTGCACTTCATAATGTGATGAGAGGGGTACCTCCATTCCGTCAGTATGTGACATACGGGGCTTTAAACAAAATTTCAGTATGTGATCAGTTGGGAATGAGAGTGTGTTGGTCTGTCAGCTTAGGCTGCTGGCCATTTCCATGTGCAGTAGGTTTGCAGCTGTATTATTTATATATGAATTACCAAAGATGAAATGCTTTAACAATATTTTCACATAATATTGATATAAGCCTCTCTATAGCAAGACAAAATGTAAAGAAAAACTGTAAGGGACAAAAATACTTTTGAATTTGAGCATTTGTCTATGTCTAACTGCTACTTTGAGACATGAATGATATCCTTTTGTATATAGCAGGACTGTTTTTACCACTCTAGATTGTCTATGGCTGAGACACTACCTGAAAATGTATCCTTGTTTCTACCCTGCTGGAAAGTAATCGCATTCAAGAGATCGTTATGCATTACCATGTTGTCCCTTTCAAAGACTTATATTGAAGAGTGAAGAGGCGTTCTCCTCAACTCTGACTTTGATAGATGGTTTCCGTTCACAGCAAGAAATACTGATGTCATTATCTATGGATCGGTATTCAATCAGTGTCTTATTTTCAATACAAGGGCCATTTTTTAAGCCTTACTCTCAAAAGGAGATTTTCTATACAGAATATCCCATTAAGTTGAATCAGACGCCTCATTGCAGTTGGAATTAAATTCAAGCACAAACTGTCAGTTCGAATTTCTGGCTCACTCACCAGCCAACAAGAAACACGTTGAAGAAAACACAGGATGAAATAAGAGCATTCATTTCTGCCACGCTGTGTGGAATTGCATTCAACTATCTTTATTTGTTTTTGCTCTCTCTTGGGCCATAACAGAATAATAAAACTCGGTAACATTTTCTGAGGCTTAGTATAAATTAGCTACAACTATTTCATTAACCATCTCATCTGTCTATCTCCCTCACTTCTTTATGGTCTATTAAATAACAGATAATGACTGGTTTGGCCTTATAGACACGTTCCTTTGTTGTCTTCCTTTAAATATCATAATGGTTCATGATTGCCCTGCAATAACAATGTGAGTGTCTGTTTGACTAACAGAGGAGGGGCACTTGTCTGTATACTTGAATATATCAGAGAAAAATTTAGTCTGATAATGTACATTTAATAGCATTGCCTGCATAGCTTGAGCATATCACAAAATAAAAGGAAAGATTGATAGAGGTGAATTTTTTGTCTTGATTTCAGTACTTTATATCCTGTGCAATAGAAATAAGGCGGGCATATACTGTACAATTTGTTTGCCCTTTTTGGGCCGATTCTTCAGTCATGCGAGATTTGTGTCGGTCGGGCCTAATTTCAGCTTCATCAGGGTCGTGGTCCTGTTGTATACATAGGACAAGAAGGGGCAATCAGCATCTTGCAACCACCTTCCGATCAGGAATCGTAAGGTCGGACGAAAATCAAACATGTTTGAAATCCAATCGGCCCTCGTGAGGTGTTGATGGACGAAAACCTGCTGTTGAAGCA